TTTCAGTAGTAAACATCGATGCTCATCGCGATGTACATCGAGAAAAAGTCCGAGAAAAGTGCATTGAAATACCGAACGCTAATGCACTAAAATACCGAACAGAACAAATTAATAAGAGTACGCTGGTACATCCGGGAACCTCTAGTAACGGTGAAATGAAAGTAAAGTAATTTTTTTAGATTAATGGTTCATTTGGACTAGCTAAAACAGTTTAAAAGCGAAATAATATCAGAAAACATTGGAAAATGAAATAAGACATGAGAAAGGTAAGCGATTTGCGTCAAAATAAGACAAGAAAGGGTGATTTTTAGCAAATTAAATTTTTTTAAAAACATCGATGTTTTGTTTCAGACATCGATGCATCGCCAGAATCAGCTTTGGCGATGCATATCGCGATGTATCGATTAATCGCGACAACACTACAAAATACCCATAATTTCGTAATGAGCGGCATTATAATCTGTTATCATAATGAAGTCCTTTTGGCATGTGACTATAGCTAGGTAATGTTTGATGTAGGATCTAACATACCTTTACCCAAAGTATCTCGTAGGGATTTCACCAAGATGCAGTTTTCTAAATCCCAAATAAGTTCAAGCTTAAATTGTTTCCCAAAACCTCTTATAGTCTTGCATGCCATTTGTTATATCTCCAGGTTTAACACTCAATATTCTAATGGATGGACAGCACTGTATCATTATGTCTATTTGTCTAAACTGTCCCCATGACGTTAGAGCCATTTCATCTGTTTTCCTAGCATTTAACATTAATACAATTTTAATATTATGAAATAAAATGAGACTTCTAAATCATGGCATATTCTACACTCGTCACACTATAAAGTTATCTTACCTTCTAATTGCACAGACGATGATCATTCTCACTAATTTGCAATAACCAGTTGATCTTAACTCTTGTCTAATTCAATAGAGTTGTGAACAGTATTTTATTGTGTTTTTCAGGGTAATCGTCTCGTATATGATCTATTTGAGGATCTCCGTGATGGACACAATCTCATCTCTCTACTGGAAGTCCTTGGTCAAGAAGGATTGGTGAGTTGACTTAGAAAGAGGATAAAATATTAATAAATGAAGCTTCAAAATTTTGTTGGTACATTTTTTGGGATCAGGAATATCATTGAATTATCATGAACAAAGATTGCAATTCTTTTCAGCTTTGAACCACTTTTGAACAGTTTTGGAAATGCTTTGGTCAGATATGGTCACCTATAACCCCAAAAATATGAAAAACACAGTCACCGAAGCAACATCATTTTAAACTGTATAAACATTTCTTTGAATATTGGGAACTTGTTGAAAATAAATTGAAAATCTAACCAAAACGCAAAACTTAAACACAAATGTTTGGTAAAAATTTTCGGCTCTTGCAACATCAAACATTAACAATATGTACTTTATATTAACTTTATGTTTCAGCCACGGGAACGAGGACGAATGCGCTTCCACAAACTACAAAATTGCCAAATAGCATTAGATTTTCTCAAATATAAAGGGGTAAGTTAATAGCATAATCCTGTCCCATATTCTCCATTTAAATAGTTCTTTATTGCAGTTTACAATGTTATATACGTTATGTCATAATGGGAGCAGGTATATGAATGCACTCACTTGTCATTAAAATTATGTGAAATGATGAGGCCTCATATGTGAGATCATCAGTTTTTGTAACATTAGGTTTGTTTGGAAGGATGACCTTTATTGTGGTTTTTAAGACACACCCCAGAAAATGTCACCAACTCTCTGTAATAAGAGAGCAACCACTTATTGAAGAAATCCAATGAAAACCTTTTCTATTAATCCAACCTTGTATAATAAATGTTTTTCTTGGTGTCACCTTCCCATTTGAATGAAACCTAACAGTAGCTGAATGTATCTGAAAGTTAAGTGTTTTATGAGTGAAGTTAAGTCAAATATTTTAGTTGTTAAGGGTTCTTGAAATAATACACTTAATTCAGTCATAATAATATCTCATTATAGTTTGCATGTTTATCAAAGATTAGAAACACCAGATTTGATTTTTGAAATTGATTTTATTTTCAATTAGTTGATAACAACTACCTCTTGGAGTATACTTAAAGATTAAAAGTGATTTATGTATTTTTTGTTTATTCTATATTCAAAGTTATTGTAACCTCTGTGCAACATGCACATTTCATGAAATTACATTTATTTTATTTTTTCTGTGAAATGTTTATTTGAAGAATAGGAAAGAATAATTTACACGAACAATTTGAAAGGATTTTGCTGCATTCAATTGATCGTGTACTGTATTCATTGGGTATTTGGTTACTTTTACTAACACCCTATGAAAAAACTTTTCCTTTTTTTGTTTTCTTAGTGAATTCTATCTTTTTTGCCATTTTATTTCTGAATAAATCTTTTAGGACATATTTTTTTTTTGTGATGTGTGAAAAACTCATGAACATAAATTCAGGTTATTTACGGTAAAGTAAACAACTGAAGTTGAATTCATCTATTCATTATTTCTTCGCAAATTGAAGTCATGTGGAGATTTTTAAAACTTTTCAAGATTTTGCTTCTTAAGGAACCAAATGTTGATTGTGGTATTTTTTACACACAAGTGATCAATCATCCTTCCTTAACATGTGCAATGTCGTTAAATAAAGGCATAATGTAAAATATACCAAAATTTTTTTAAAGGATATATATTATGGGATTGACAAGATATTAGGAGCAGTCTGCAACACAACAAGTTTATATTAATTACAAAATGTGACACTTCATGTTGAGTAGACTTTCACTTTCATATTTGATCTTTTAGATGCTTGTTTAGATATGTGTAGCATCTCCTATTTATTTACGTCAATTATGAAACCTTTAAAAATTATACTAGCAGTTAATATATGACATCTATACATCAAAATCAAAAATAATATTTTTGTCCATTGTATGCAGCAAGATAGCAACCATAATGCTATACTCTAGTTATTATGTCTTGTGATTTTCCCCACTATTTTCACATGTTAGACCTGTAACATTCCCTGATTTGTAACCACTATGTATTTTTTTTTCTTTCAGATCAAGTTGGTGAACATCCGAGCAGATGAAATTGTGGATGGGAATCCAAAGTTGTCCCTTGGCCTTATATGGACTATAATCTTACACTTCCAGGTATGGCAGTTTATTCTCAATTTCCTAACATCAACCCACTTCTCATTAAAAATAAATGCAATTTACGAAAATATCATAATGGCAGGAGGCAGAGACCCTATGCAAGATAAAGAGGATATCCTATGTTATGAGTGATATGATTTTTATCCATGAGTGGATAAAAATCATATAAATAAATCATGTTCTTTTTATTCCATAGTTAAAGGGTTCTTGCCAAACCTCTGATTGGCCAATGTTCGAGATTATATCTCTCATACCACTCAGATTGCATAAAGTCATTCTGTAATCCCCTCCTTCTTTCCTTACTCAGGCCATGGCTTTTATTCCAGTTCCCCCAAAACTTCAAGTATAGTACAATGTGAGATATAAGGAGACATGTAGCTTGTAAGCTGTGGTATAACAGACATTGGTTGAGTAGGTCTTATAAATCATTGTGGTTCAAAAATCAAGTAGCCGTCCAGTCCTTTAAATCATATAATATATTGATTTACAAATGTTTATGAGACATGTTCATTACTTTTTAAAAATGGTTGTATAAATCATATTAACATGCTTTTGAATCATATTACTGCCAATAGAGGGCAGTAGTATGTAGAAAGGCATTTGTACAAATGATAATTTTAGAAGGTAATGGTTGTAACTGTTTAGGGTGGGCCTCTGTACTACAGGTGGTCTGAAAATCTAGTTAGGAAATGTATAGATATTCTCCTCCAGAAAACCTTCCGTATTTTTCTTCAAAATCCATGCTTCTATCAAATTTTGTTTTCAGTTTTTACAAATAAAGAACATATAAATGTCTGTAGCCTCTGTATAATGAACATATAATTTCAATGTTTGCATGTTTAAGAATTAAATAGTTCAGAATTACAACCATTATATTTGGATATTTTCTTAGTTTTTAGAATCTAATTCTTCTTCATAGCTTTTCTAAAGCTAAAAGATAAAGTTGTGATACAGCTGTTATCAAACAGTGGTTAAAGGTATCTCTCAGCATAGCACCAGCTGGTTAAACTTAGAATGGCCTACAACTTGTAAATACTTAAAACATTTTTTCTTATTATAAAAAAACACAAAATTAGATAAGAATACAGATACCATATATATTTTTATTACATGGTTAACTCCTGATCCAGTAATAATTAAATTACAATTATATGCGAACCTGATGCCACTGTGTGTTCCAGATGTACAGCACACTAATTTGTTATGGCATGTACACTTGAACTGTTGGTATGTAAAGATACATAAGTTTGACAAACTCTAACATATGTCAAAATAATACCAGGTAGATTATAATCAACAGATCGATGTAAGATTTTGCCTGGCTGAAGTTAAGCTGCCCGCAAGTAAAATACAGAGCAGTTTACTAAAAACAAGATATCTCTCTTGTCTGCTTGTTCCGCTCTTGAAAGTAAATCTAGCATAAAGAGCAAAGTTGAAAAAAACTCCTTGTGATTTCAAAGAAACTTTCTTTTTCATTCGTATAATTGATTATGATTCCTGTAAACATCCTTGGTAATATATCAAGGTATACTGTCTTGATTGGTTTACCAGCCTCTTGGTTGAACTTATTTATGTGCACCAATGCATGATTTTTCAGTAGTTCTTGTGGTAAAATGCCCCAGCTTTAAATAAAAATATCTGATATATCTTCTGACAGTTTCCCCATTTGTTTTTGGCAATAGCTATTTTTGTTAATCGTTAGCTGTGTTGCGTTGTTCAAGTGAAGAATTTACCTGGTCTATAGGAGGTGTTTGTGCTATATGATATAACCAAATCTTTTTCTCATACAAAATACATTAACACAGTATGGAAAATATATTCCTGTAAATTGATTCAGAAAGGATTATGGATGAGGACTATTATGCTCGTCTAAGGGATTATTATAGTAAGGAAAGTGCAAATAGGTCGAAGGTTTTAAGAAAAGGTGAGGCTTCTAGAGCTGCATATTCAGGTTTCAGCTACTCAGACAAATGTTTAACAATAGCAAACAATGAGCCAGAGTTTACACGTCATGGAGTACATTCAAAGGAACAATCACATAAGAATACTGGAGTTAAACCTATATCTCAACTGGACTTGGATATTGGAGATACCAATCTAGTGATCACTGGGGCCCATAAAGTTGATGTGCATGACCCTAAACTTTGGGAGGATATGGAAATTAGATCTTCCAAAGCATATCATAATCCTATTCGTGAGGGGCTTGGTGGTCAGCAGCGTGACCTTGAAAAAGGGGAATTTGTTCAACCTAATTCTGCCAATCCTGAAGATCTATATGTTAAGAATGATGAGGGGGAGGAGTTTCAAGGCGGTAGCTTTCAGTCAATCCCATTCTCTCAACTCTCTGAAGCGGCTAGTGCTCCAATGGTCTCTGACCTTGATGTGAGAAAATTTGACGTCCCAAGCAAGATGATGGTAATCTATGATATTGGAGGACCAAGTGACACAGAGTTCAACCAAGGGTCACATATTTTAGGGTTCACCGTACCCCCAACAACAATGTCGACAAGTGACCAACAAAGAGAGCAATGTATTGTTTCAGATAACTTTCAGTTTGACATTGTAACTAGTAAACCACCTATTTACCAACAAGCTAATACATTACTGGACAATATTTCAGAATTGAGACCTGTGAGGAAAAGTAAGAGTGCACAATTGTCAACAGATAGTAAACAGGTGTCAACAAATAGTGCACAAGTATCAACATTCGAGGAGCCGCCTTCATATGGAGATGTCATAGAATCTGATTTAAGTCTTAAGCCTTATCTAACAAGTACAGATCCACCAAATTCACCTATCATAGAGGTTACATCATCCAGGCAGAAAGTAAAACAATTTAATAGGAGTGAGGTTATCAATAATAGTGATTATAACCAAATTGGCGGTAACATAAACAGAGGCAGTATCATTTCAAGTGGTTTTGCTGACAAGGTAACTGATAAGAAGAAAACTTTACATATAAGAGGACATGGTCCAACATTGATTGCTAAAAACTCAAAAACACAGCGTAGTAAGCCATCTTTCAAATATGATGGTGGTCAACAATATAAGCAAAGTAGCTTGATATCTGGAAGCTATCATCGATATCCAGCAGTTAGCATGGAGTCTGATAGCACTGATAGTGAAGAAGAGGCTTCTAAATCGTTTGGAGATTATGTCGTGGAAAATACAGATGTTGGGTCTGGTCTGCCACTGCCTTTTTTCATCACAAGGCGAGCTGAAGCTGTACCCAAAAGAAAACCTCATAGAAAGCGAAGTGCTGCAGGGCAGAATATAACTGTCAAAGGCCATTCACACCTTAGAAGAACTGTATCAGCTGATAATGTCAAAATTAGACCAAGTACATCTCATCAAAATAGCTTATGGGAGGATTTTCTTGATGGTGGATCTAAGAAAACACTGGGGTCTGAAACATCGCAGAATCAAGACAATAAAGATATAACTCAAATTCAAGGAAATGGGGCTGATGAAATGTCAGTAGATGGAAGCATCGATGAAGTAGCTATTGAGATACTGAATGAAGAGGACTATGAAAAAATCCTAGAAGATACACTTGAAAAAGTTGAGCCACAAAATGAGAGAGATAGCAAAGAATCATCTCCCGAAGATTCAGTTACTCAAGAAAAGGTCAATTTCGAGAAACTATTAGATGAAACTTTGGAAGAGTATGATATCATTAGCTCAACTGAGTACAAAGACACAAGAGACGATACACCGGAAAAACTCATTGTATATACAAGTACCCCTAATAAACTGGACAAAAACAAAAACACAGAAGATACTCAAAGTAAAGCAAGTGATTTCGAAGATGACTTTACTTTTAGTATCATTGAAAGCCCAATAAAACTTGATAATGACTTGAGGGATAACAGAACGAAAGAACCTATTGGAGTTGCAGATGTAGTGGAAAGATACAATGATGACAAAGAAGATAGGACACCAATAAAATCACCAAGTTCATCAAGGAGGCATTCTAAAGAAATAAAGGATAAAACACCTGAACCATATGACATAGAGCAACCATTTGGCACTCTGACTGTCCATACACCTATCAAACTCAGATCAGTGTCTCCAGAACCAACTAAGGTGAAGAAAACGACTGACAAAAGTAAAGTGAAATCATCAAAGAAGCATGACAAAACTAAAGATGTTCCTAAACAAAAAACTATGCCAGTGCCAGTATCTATCAAATTTAAGGATAGTGGTTCACAGATTACTGGAATATCTTTGAAGATACCTGTTGAGGTAGGGCCCATTGGAACTGTTGATGTACCAATGCCCTTACATATACAAGGCAAACTTGTAGACACAATGTCATTATCCGATGTCTCAGATATACATGATAATATAGGAGATGCAATCGAATCTGATGGTGATGGTGAGAGAAATACTGCAATGGGTACTGACTTAGAGACTGAAATGGATAAAAGAACTACCACTGTGAAGACTGAAATAGATGAAAGTACTACTGTTGTGAAGACTGAAATGAGTGAAAGTACGACTGTTGTGAAGACTGAAATGGGTGAAAGTACTACCATTGTGAAGACTGAAATAGATGAAAGTACTACTGTTGTGAAGACAGAAATGGATGAAAGTACTACTGTTATGCAGACTGAAATGGATGAAAGTACTTCTGTTAAGACTGAAATGAATGAAAGTACTACTGTTGTGAAGACAGAAATGGATGAAAGAACTGCTGTTATGCAGACTGAAATGGATGAAAGTACTTCTGTTAAGACTGAAATGAATGAAAGTACTACTGTTGTGAAGACTGAAATGGATAAAAGCACTGCTGTTATGCAGACTGAAATGGATCAAAGTACTTCTGTTAAGACTGAAATAAATGAAAGTACTACTGTGATAGAGACTGAAATGGATGAAAGTCCTACTGTTGTGAAGACTGAAATAGATGAAAGTACTACTGTCATAAAGACTGAAATGGATGAAAGTCTTACTGTTGTGAAGACTGAAATGGATGAAAATACTGCTGTTGTGAAGACTGAAATGGATGAAAGTCCTTCTGTAATGCAGACTGAAATAGATGAAAGTACTGCGAATAATCAAGATAATATGAAAATCAAACAGGAAGTGATACAAACCAACGTTGATATTGGCCTTGAAAACACTTGGGACATACCCCTTCAAGATGACCTTGTATGTACAGTAGTTGGTGAAGAAACTGCTACAACGCAGAATGAGTTGGATCTGCTGACCTGTAAAAGTGATCCATTTAGGGCAGTAGCGATGCCAAGAATTAATTGGGAAGTTGTGGAGCAAACATTAGATGTCAATGACTCTATGTACTATGAAGTAACACATGAATTCAATAGAAATGAAGAACAAATGGTCAAGTATAATCAAGACCAGGTGGAGGTAGTTGTTGAAAGGGTTAATGTAGAGGATCCAAAACAGATTGAGAATATACTTATACCAGCTGTTGAAGAACCAATTCAAATTGAAGAAACAAACACAAGTGGCCAACATGAACCAGACGCAAACAAGGATGGACATTCAGATACACAAATCATTATTGAGAGAGATAATTCAATTGGTTCTGAATCAAGTGATAAATTGACCAGTGACTCTGATGGACATACAGTTTCTGATAACCAGAAAAGTGTTCATGGTAAAAAACAAGTGCATACTGAATCTAAAGAATCTGAATCAGAGGATCACAAAGATATTGAAGCTGATGATGAAATGAGTGTGGACTCTGAAGATCAGATGGTCTTTAGATACACAAAGCAAAAGGTTGAACACTCAGTTGAGCAAGTGATAATGGAGTATGATGACCAGTCAGAAGAAGAACCTGTGCTGGTGAAAGACAAAATTTATGGTGACATTAGTTCACCTGATCAGATTGATGTTAATGAGACTGAAATAAAGGATAGTATTAATGAGATATCTGCTGAAGCATCTGAAGCTTCTCTTTATGATGAAAATGATGATGAACAGTCTCAAAAAGATGTCAGTCCACCATCTTGGGTTCAACCTAAGCAAATAATACACCAACAAAGATTTGAGAAATATGATTCTATGATAAGTGAAAAGCCTAAGGTCACTGAGCAGTTGTCATCAGACAGAACAATAAAAGTCACAATGACAAGTTCTTATGAGATCACCGATACAGCAATTGATAATGGGGAAAGTTTGCGTTATACTAAACCAGATGCTCCTAATGGTAACGTCACAGAAAGTTCCTCATTGAGAGATGTCAAAATTCTAAAACTGAGACAAATTGATACAAAGACGATGTTTGACAGAGTTAAACGTGCTCCTGATTTGGCTGGAGAATCTGAATTTGAGATCTTAAAAGAACTTTATGAAAAAGTGAACATATCTGATGCTGAATCGAGTCAAGTTTTAGAAAAGCTTGAGCAAGAAGCATTGGAACGTGTCCGACTCTTGGATGATGACTTACAGAAAACTGAACTAATTGCCACTGAACTAGGTGACCACACCAAGAATGTGAATGGAGAAAAACAAAAGGATATTGTTAAACCAAAGGATGTAGATGAACAACAGGTAGGCGGAACTTCTATTTGTTCTAAGTGCACTGCTTAGTAGGTAGATAGGTGTTTATCAATTTAGTTGGCATTGTCTACATAGTATAAGCTTGATAGGTTATCAATAACTTTGCTTGTCAAGCATTTCTACTTCACCTAAATATTTCTTGAAGAATATATAGGATAATTTAACAACAGAAAAGTTGTCAGTTCATCTTGAACATACGTTATAAGTCTGTGATTATTATAGTGATTTCATCAAATTATTGAATATTCACATGTATTTCCAGGCCCCACATGCTTGTTATCATAAGGCTGCATTGCACTGAGCTCAACACTGTGGTTACCCTGCTATGCTTTAGCTTGCAGAGCTCCTTTCATTGCAATAGACTGTTTCCATATTGCTCTTGACTGGATAACACTGTTATGTATTTGCCCCTAAAATGCATTTATTTAGTAATAATATGGACAAATGTATAGAGTTACTTCATATGGAACGTGAGTTGTGCTGAGCTATACATTTTTGTGATAGCATTTACATAGACTGATGAGGTCACAAGGCCCTGATGAAATGACTTAAATTGGCCAATTTTGACATTTGGTTATCTTTTATGCCGTTTTATTTGCTTTTAGGTCATGTTAAATGTTCAACTAAATAAGATATGTTTGTTGTATAAATCGTTGTTGAAAGAAAACTTGTTCAAAAATAAAATGATAAAGTTGTGTGAAATAGAGTAGTTTGACTCAAGGGGTACATGTATATAAACACTTAAGTATACTGGAGTAATGTACTGCTAAATATGAAATATGTATGGGAATCAAATTAAACATTTGTGCCATAGTTCACTAATGAGACGTCCATGATATGGCGAGGCGATTGATTCAAGAGATCAATCATAAAACAATTGCAGTTTTATCAACATCAATTGACACAGAGAAGATATGCAAATTTGACAAGGAAGGATCATACGGCAGACTTAAAAATCATTCATCTCTTGATAAAGGGAACTGCTTATTTGTGTCCACTTTGCAGAATAAGTTAGCAGTAAGTAAGATGTATCCTCTTATATTTAGTGCTGTATTGTGCTCATATTGTGCTGATGGGTTGGGGTGTTGGTCAACTCCTTGATTAAGATTGTCCTGTGAAATTTAAAACACAGGATGGCTGGGAATTCAAAAATTTATGAGAAGTGTCTTCATGTAAGTCTTTTCTGAATATATTATTATGTCACAACCAGAAGTGGTGACATATTGTTTTAGTCTCCAACTTTTTTTTATTTATGGTGTTCAGAAGTTGATGTTTGGCATCTGTAACAAATGGTAGGTGGTGACATTTGGTATGTTAATGCCTTGTTTACCTTTACAAATGTTCAATGAGACTTATTCATGCTTATTCAAGTGTTTAAGCAAGATTCTGAAGAGATGCATTTATTTGTGCAAAACCAAGAACATTCAACTTATTTCAATTTCTTATTATATTCTGAGGAAGTTTCTGATTTTCATCTTTGGGATGAAGAAAGATGGCAGCTGTGTAGAATTATAATTTACTTGCATACATTCTTCATCACATCATCTTTAAAACCCTTGAGTAAATCACTTGAAATATTTTGTATAGAAGTTAGTTTTGAACCACTTCAACGGGCCTTTTGTTCACATACAATCCCTTTAAAACATTTATTAATAGGTTCTTTTTAACAAACTATGGCACCACATTAATCATCTTAATGGCAAAAGGGTAATGAAATTTAAAGGCAACTATTACATTTAAAGCTAAGCTATTATGAGGCCTGCTTTGAACAAATTACAAATGCATTCCTTTTTATTTATTACACATTTATGTTTCTGGCTCCTTTCTTGTGTGATAAATAGCAATATTGAATAGGTTTTAAGTAACATAACTTATTGCAAACTTCATCATGTAATTTGTTACAGTTTCGTAATTTTAGAATTTTAATTTCCTCTATTTAAAAAATGTTATTTACCAATTTTATGCAAGTTAAGTTCAAGGATAATGACAAAGAAAGGTTGGCAGTAAAAAGAACATATTGCCACAAAGTATTGTGGTTTAAATGATGTGAGCGTGACAATTTTTTATGTGAAGGGTGTAGCACTTTATGCACCTTTAATGGATTAAGTCAAAGTATTGAGAGCTTATATTGAAAACTTTGATTTCATGTATGTTTGCTCTATTGGGTTCGACATACACATGCATATACAGGTTTTAGTAAAGGTAAAAAAGGACAGCCTTTGATATTTTTCATTCAATTTATGAATATAAACATCATCACTATTCAGTGTACAGTTTATAGTGTATACCATCAGTTCCGCTGTGTGATCCATGGAGGCAGGGAACCTTTGAGATGGTACACAGATAAGTACATGTGATATGAAGCAGTAGTTTACAGCTGGAGGCCAATGTTTTTTAACATGAATATCCCATGATTAGGACAGGTCAAAGGTGATGGTAGTAGGCTACAATGCACTTGAATATTGTATTGACTTTAAGCATCAGTGGCATGGTTATATAACAGCTTTATACAAGTCGGGATATATGCCATACAATCATACAATTCAACAATCACACAGTGTACAGTTAAAGTTAAGAGATCCATCCGCAAAACATTAACATTAATACCTGTATATAGGATATTTAACTGATCGCCACTAAGTAATGCAGGATAGGCAAGATGTATAGATTCAACAGGGAGAAAGTACAACTACCTTACAAACGTTTGTTTGTTAAAGCAAGCTATGAAGATGATGAACTTTTCACTAAAAGATGGAAACCATCAGAAAAGGTAAAGTTTTCATGCTCCATTTTCTCAAAAATTCTAAATTTTTCTGCTCAGTCACCACCTGCATTGATTTTGAAATGTTGTATCTTAACATGAGCTCGGTATTTTTGATAAAACAACTCAGGTGTGGGCGGGTTCATAATCTCTACTTCACCATATATAGATAGTGGTAGAAGCTGTATGCACATTTTGAACTTTATATTTGCTTTCCTGTTGAATTGATATTATCAAAATAGATTTCCATAAGTGATAAAATAACATAGTTGAGATTAGGGAAGTTACCTAGGATTGGTCATATATTTGCTGAAATGTCCTGTTACATTGACATTTTTTGCTATTTAAGTTGCACTTGTATACATTGGACATTTAAAAAATTAAATTATATATATGGAACATGTTTGAATTTTCTCCTTGGCTGAGCTTAATGAAAGCTACAGGAGCATAAATAAATAGGCCACTCAATTTGTATTAAAAGGTTTGAGTCGAGTTTAAGTCAAACACTTATTTATTATGAATTTTTATCATGGTATCACAAATGACATTGCATAAAGCAGCGTTTTCAAGTTTTTGTAATGTGATGATTGTGGTTTCTGTTTTCTTAAGTATCTGTATGCATTAAGAAGTTACTTTTCTGGTTTACAATGTCTGTCTTGTTTTTCTTATTTTCACATCCAGTTCATAGCAGAACATATTAAAGATGCTTTGAGGCCAATTACAATTAACTGTTGATACCTTATTAAAGCAAGGGGTTCGTATCAAGGAACCTGTGTAACCAAGGGCTGCTTTGCAAGGAACCTGTATATGTACATGTACTTTGTAGCTCAGTGATAGAAAATGATGAAGTTTCACAAATAAACCTTATTAAACCAAGGGGTTCGTATCAATGAACCTGTGTAACCAAGGGGTGCTTAGCAAGGAACCTGTATATGTACTTTGTAGCTCAGTGATAGAAAATGATGAAGTTTCACAAATAAACCTTATTAAACCAAGGGGTTCGTATCAATGAACCTGTGTAACCAAGGAGTGCCTAGCAAGGAACCTGTATATGTACTTTGTAGCTCAGTGATAGAAAATGATGAAGTTTCACAAATAAATCTTATTAAACCAAGGGGTTCGTATCAATGAACCTGTGTAACCAAGGGGTGCTTAGCAAGGAACCTGTTATGTGCTTTTGTAGCTGAAAATTGATAGAAAATTAGCATCAAACTAAGGGAGAATATATGTTTTTGTTTTTACTGTCATATATTTTGTTGAACATGTTCAAGAACCACTGATTGGTGTTTCACCTTTTGTGGTGTATTTCCTTCAGAAAACAATTGTCTTCATTACCTTATCAAGCATAGATACACTATACAATGTAGAGGTTGTTAACTCTACCAATACAAAGTACATAAAAGTTTGGGTTGTAGTTTCATGAAATTTCTTTGATTTAAATTGATTCTGGGAATTGTAAGGTAAAATAGTCATGACTTACTGCTTAACCTTTACCATGCTGCCTTATTTCAGCAAATATATCCCACGCAACTGGCTTATTTTTCAAAGAGTGCAAAAAATGATATACCTGGACTAAATAATTAATATCTCAATAACTACTGAATGAATCTGGATAAAATTTTCACAAAGGGAAGATACAGTGGCCTGGCTCATGAAAAAAATGTTCTCATGAATTTTTTCGTACATTAACACGACTGGGCATAAATATACCATGAATACTCCTCCGGAATCCGCCGCTCCGCCTCTTCGTCTGATCAGAATCCAAATCTGAATTTGCAGCGATCGAATGTTCAATTTTTCAATTCAGAAAATATTCTAGTTTCTATTTTCGATGACCGTTATCGGCTTCCAAGAGCCTAAAGAGCTCGAAATCGTAATCCATTTCCTCCACATTTTCGTTATGATCGTATTTGTCCACCATTTTGTACGATTCGTTCACTAAAAACGACTAAAACACTGTTTAAATTGATGAATTGAGAATTATTTTTCGAAATATCGCCATTTCTAGGTCAACAGGAAGTCATGTTAGGCACTGAATAAATCGGGCAATCTAATTGGACGATACGAATGGCGCGAAAAAGTAAAGTTTTTAAAAGTTTGAAATCGGGCGTACGGGTCCGCCGGCAGTTGTGAGAGACATTTTAGTCTCGGCGGACGAGTCCGCCGGCAGCACGCTAAAGGTTAAAGAGAAGAATATGTTTGTCTGAAAGCACATTGCATGATAGAATTTCCTCAACTTCAATGCAGTTGAAGTTGACCTTTTTATTTGCAAAAGCTAACACTTGCTGCGAACGTAACAATACACTTCTGTGATCACAAAACTGCAACAAGAAATTCCAATATTTTATTTTCTCAAGTACCTTTTGTTAATCTTGTGGTGTTTAGAAAGTCCATTGAAGTGGATCATAAGCAGAATATTGGTTTAACTGTAAGCTTGTAACATACTGGATTAGATAAGTTAATGTTGGTAAACATTATTCATGCTTTTGCTTTGGATTAATTTTATATATTAAAATCATATAAAAATGCATGAGTTGATTTTTTAAACTGAAGCTTAAAGTAGGCGCCATTAACCTCCATCGCATTTATTCATTCATGCATGTGAAGCCATTAGGGCCCTACATGTATAAATTTTGATGATGATTTCATTTTTTTGTCTAAGATAAACCTATTTGCTGAACTATGATCGGAATTCCAATTGGATTTTCTATACAAAGCAGTGGAACCTTTTGAAATAATTCCAAAATGACAGTACGTAGTTCTAAATAGTGGTGACTTATTTGTTAACATAATTTCAAATGATAATTATTGTCTAACAGTGACATCTTGGTAAATTCTATATTAAGGGTGCATTTTTTATTGAAAT